TGTTTGTAACTTATTTGGAAAAATTCACATTGCGGCCATGCATTAACTTACGCGAAATAGGGTGAACACGGTTATTGGCCAAGCCATGCCGATAGGCCCGATGGCATATTTAAAAGTGAAAACACGTAATTAGTCATTACAATCAAATTGTGACATTCAATGGAAACGTCATGTCTACTCACACCATTGCGGGATCCAGTACCAGGACCAGTACCCTTTTCGGCCTACACGAAATAGGATGTATGCATCTCATGCATATGATCTACTGGTAGCCTCGAAGGCCTAATTAGAAAGAAAAAATATGTTACTTATATTTGAGTTGAGCTACTTATATGCGTAGGAAGTAGTATTCGGAAGCCAGCAGGTAATTCTTGGCGGCTCAACTGCTGAATGCACCCGAAGATGCATGCAGGGGTCGCAAGAAGCGTTTGCGCCGAACTCGAGAGCGTTTGAGGCTCGGCAAAATGGTGAAAAGGGGATGAGTTAAAGCTGCTCTTTTTTCGACTCACATGCTCTTCTTCTGCACATCAATCAGCTTCGGCTTAGTGCTCTTCCGTCCAGGACGGCTACTGGTCTGGCGTTAAATTCCATACGATAATCCCAGATTGCAGTTCAGCTCGGCAACAGCGCATGTGTGGTTGTCAGGCGGAGGACAAGATGGTTTGTGGTTAAATCCGGTGTTCGGTGTCCGGTCTCCTGACGTCAGAGGTTCAATGAGCAGAGGGCCGATGGGCTGAGACCTGCTGCGTCGCGAGATTCGATCCCGAGGCTCGAGGTTCGAGGTTTCATGCAATCGGGCTTCAGCCAACTGCTCGTTGCTAGGACTCAATTCGAGCTGTCGCCTGCACCAGAGTTGCCGGTTAGAGACCGGCCCAACCGTACCGGAGGCGAGCAGAGATGAAAGGAAACTGTGCAGAATTTCGTCTCTCTTTGCGTATCTGCCAAGCCGGACGTAGTGGCCTGGTGGATGTGGGGATTTCGCCCAATTCGGTGTGTGTATGTGTCTATTTCTGTGCTTGTGTGTGCATGTGTGTGTGTCTGTATGTATGTCTGTCTGTCTGTGAGTAGGTGTGTAGACGGAAAAAACATGCTCATAGGCGCTGGGATTAGTGTCGCTAGGCCAAACTGACGGCCGCAGAGACTGGACGACTGGGCCAGGCTTGTTTTCTTCTGTCCATGCCCACTTTGCCCAGCTCTGTCGGTCTGGCGGCCTGTCTGTGCGGCTGTCGGTGGGTAGACTCGTGTTGTGGGCTGACGGCGAAGACACCGAGCGACGACCAGACGGGCTGGAGGGTTCGTGGCGGCGGATAGCAGAGGCAGAGACAAAGACGGCCAAGCAGTCGGCAGAGATGGGCGATGGGATAACATGGGCGAAAAGAGAGACGGGAGGATAAGGAGG